TCCAGATTGTTTATCCAGCCTATCTTATCTAGATAGACCTGGGGTGTTTTGGGTTTTTTTTAAAGCATTTTATTGGGGACTCTTACAGCTTAATTCTTTTTACTGCCTTAGGTGACTGTATCAACAACTGACAGGAGAAATAATAAGCTGATTTTCAAAGTAAACTTGGTGGAAATGGATGAGAAGATCTTGGTAGATTTCCGACTTTCTAAGGTATGCTTCTAATATGCATTCTTATATTTCTAAGGAACTATTTACAAAATATTATTTGCTGTTATAAAACTACTGTTAGAGAATTATTAAAAAAAATTTTTTTTTAATTTAGGAAAGTATAGAAAAGAATATAAGACTCAGTCACCAGTCTTGTCTCTTAGAAGTAACGCATGTAGAATCTTGATATATCTTCATTATAGCATTTTGTCTGTGGAACTATTTGTATGGAGATTCTTTTTTTTTAATTAAATCATTTTATTGGGGCTTGTACAACTCTTATCACAATCTACACATACATTCATTGTGTCAAGGACATTTGTTGCCATCATCATTCTCAAAACATTTGCTTTCTACTTGAGCCCCTGGTATTCGCTGCTCATTTTTTCCCCCTCCCTCCCCGCTTCCTCCTCCCCCACGAACCCTTGATAATTTATAAATTATTATTATTTTGTCATATCTTACACCATCCGATGTCTCCGTTCGCCCACTTCTCCTGGGAAGAGGTTATATGTAGATTCTTGTAATCTGTTCCCTCTTTCTACCTCATCTTCTCTGCACCATCCCGTTTTTTTTTTTTTTTAAACATGGAGATTCTGTGTTATTAAAACATTTATGGTTTGTAAAAAATGTTTGCACCTTATAACTATGACCTTTTATTGATTATAAATCTGTAATTTGTCATGTAGATTTTTGTCCAAGCATCTGATGATTTAATTAAACCACATTTCTGGTTATTTCCTTAGAAATTATTGCTCTTGAAGTTGTAGTTTTAAAGCTCTTATGTATAAGTTCAGAATAGCATTTTCACTATTACCTAGGAGTTTATACACGGCTCCAAAGAAGTTTGGAGGAGTGGGTCACATTTTTTACTGGGGCTTTGTTACAATATTATATGGTTGTCCAGAGGCTTGTTATAAAATTAACTTGTTAAGATCCAGGGTAATGAAATTCTTCTTGTGCAATGAGACCTTGGTTGTCAAACTCAATTCATTACTATTTTTTGTTCAAACACCTAAAAGTTCAAGAACTGAACATATTTTTTTCTTTTAAAAAACAATGGAAAACAAAACAATTAGTTCTGAGGCCCCAAAATTACACTTATAAACTCTTTTTTAAATCATTTTATCGGGGGCTCATACAACTCTTATCACAGTCCATACATACATCCATTGTGTAAAGCACATCTGTACATTCGTTGCCCTCATCATTCTCAAAGCATTTGCTTTCTGCTTGGGCTCTTGGAATCAGCTCCTCATTTTTCTTTTTCTTTTTTCCCCTCCCTCCCCTCTACCTCCTCTCCCCCCACACTTATAAATTCATTCTTTTATGATTTTAACACAAAGTTAACAGCACTGAGTTACAGAAATACCCCCTAAATGTCTAAACACAATAAATACATTCCATTCCATATCAAAACACAGCACAATACATAAAACTTTAAAAAAAATTTGCACAGGTATTTTACTTTGACTTGGAAGCTTCCTGGGTGCTGGCGAGAAACTGGAGGAGCAGGAGCAATGTTGTTTTTTTGGAAGGAGAGTCTCCTTCCATGGCTGTGGGTAGTATACTTTCTGGGGTTTTGTGCACCTTTTCTTCACTGCTGGACAGTGATTTGGTATACAGTTTTTTGAAATTCGCAATAACTTGCTGGTCTGTGGACTGGATGAGAGGAGTCGTATTTGGCGGCAAGAATGTAATGGTGATAAAGGGGCATTTGTGATCCACCTTGCCCTCCAAGCCTGGAGGATGCACAGGAACATTGTCCACGAAGAGGAGTGCTTTTACAGAGAAGTTTTTCTCCGTCGTGTATTTTTTACACTGGGCCCAAACACCTCACATGCCCACTAAGGAAAGACTGCTCGGTCCTACACACTTTACTATTTGCCCTCAATATCACACTTAAATTATTTTTCATTATGTTTTATTGCTTTTAAAATGTGAGTATTCTGGGGGGTGCTGGTGAAATGTGAGTTTTTGGAATGGTATGCTAACATGGGCTTCACTTTAAAATCCCCACAAGCTTTCTTACAAAACAGTGTGAACCTGCCTTTCATAGGCTCGAGCCTGCCGATGCCTTTTCCTCTTAGTAGTAAAGGTCCTGCTGGGCATTTTCCCCTCTTCAAATTTTGAGTCTTGTCACCGTTGAGCATTTGCTGAGAACAACACATTCGACTTCCACGTATTCCGCAAACTCAGCTTCAAATTTATTGGCTTCATTTTTTTAATCATGTACCTCAAGCTTTATTTCTGGCAACAAGACCACAGTTTCCAACTTCTCTCCTTCCTTTATTTTCAACTTTTGCATTCTAGTCATCAGTGATCAGCTTCATTTTTGTTTGCACCTTTCCCCATGCCTCACTACACTGTGGATGCCTGTTGTCCTTTTGAATTTTTCAAACCAACCCTATCTAGCTCTGAAAATTTCTGGCCGATCAGCACTTGATCCTGCAACATCTTTCATTAAATCACTTTGGCGGCTCCAGCCTTCTCACAGGTAACCCTTTGGGAGATTGTATCGCCCTGAGTTGTTTGCGGTTTATCTGAAATAACAGGACCTCTCAACCTCTTTGATGGCCTGGGTTTTTTGTCTCATGGTTATCAATTTCACATCTTTCGCTACATTAGCTACTTTTATCACTTTTTTCCCCTTTTTTCCAAAGATGTTGATAATAATGACTTAGCCATGTTGTATTTAGCCGTCAAATCAGACAAGTGGCCACCTGATTCAAATTTTGGAACAATTTTTCTTTATTTGTATTAAGGTTCTCACAACTTTTCTCTTAGCTTTACTGCTGGTGTCTCTAACTTTCTTTGGAGCCACGGTTGCAATATTTTTACGCAAATAAAGTGCCAAAAATTTTTAAAAGCACAATGGTGAATGTTTTAACACTAACACAAGCACAGTATGTTGTCTGAACAAGAGTGGCGCTTAGACTGAAGCGTCAACCCCCCTTTGTGTCCATAGCGACACATGACTCACTCTCGGCTTGTATGGGATTTTTCAAGTTGGGTTTTCCGTTCGACTATCTAGCAAAGTTACAAACACCAGATTTTTTTTTTTTTTTGGTAACTTTGCTTCTCGAGTAGTGGAAAGTTTGATCTTGGAGCTGTTCAACAACTGCGGTATCACTGTACCCGAATCACGTAGCTTTGGTGCCAGTGTTATGGCAAGAAAACTTTTTTTTTTTTAAATCATTTTATTGGGCTCATACAATTCTTATCATGATCCATATGTACATCAATTGTGTAAAGCACATTTGTACATTCCTTGCCCTCGTCATTCTCAAAACATTTGCACTTCCCATAAGACCTTGGCATCAGCTCCTCATTTTTCTCCCTCCCTCTTCTCTACCCCCTCCCCCTCCCTCATGAACCCTTGATAATTTATAAGTTATTATTTTGTCATATCTTACACTGTTCCATGTCTCCCTTCACCCACTTTTCTGTTGTTTAGCCCCAGGGAGGAGGTTATATGTAGACCCTTGTAATCAGTTCCCCCATTCCACCCCACCCTCCCTCCTCCATGTTATGGCAAGGCTTTAGTGTCATTGTGTAGCTTATTTTCAGTTCACAAACCTCCACTGCCTATGGGAAATCATGACTTAGGCACAGAGATAACAGCACCGGAACAGATAGGATGCCACTTTATTTCTGCTCTCTGAGCTCAATGCGGTAGTCAAAATGATTTATGCAGCTGCTGCTTCGACCAGAATTTTTGTTCTTCACAAGAAGACCTGAAGGGAACTGTAACTGAACATAATCTAAGGATCGTTGATTTTGTAGAAATCATTTTAATTTTTTTGGACATAATTTTCTAATATTATTCCTAATACAGGGGGATGGACTGGAGTTCAAGAGGCACTTTCTGAAGATCAAAGGGAAGCTGAGTGATGTTGTGAGCAGCCAGAAGGTTTGGCTCCCGGCCACATGAGCAATCCGTTGACTCTGGGCTTCCTGGTGAATATAGTGCTGCTATGTTGACGTAATTCTTCCTAGAGAAGATTATCCTATTCAGAAAATAATAGTTCCTGGGAAATCTTTGTCTTCTGTTATCCAGACATCTTCCACATTTTTTTGTACTACAGATGATGCCTATATTATCATTGTAAATAAAACTTTGGGAATGGAATGGGTAAAATTCATTAGATATTTCTTTGGCAGGATTTACTGTTAGAATTTGAGACCCACGTGGTAGAAACCAAATTTGGGGTATACATGAATTTACAAGCTTTCATATTACCATAATGAAAGAAGATGTCTATGGCCCATTTTAACCAAAATATTTAGTTTTATCCAGAAAGTTTGTATTATTTAACTATTAGGGTAGATTAGTAAAAACATAGTCTTTGTGACTTTTGGAAATAGATTTATCTGTGAAATGATTCCAACTTTTAAAAAATGTATCCCTAATATCTGTACTTCTATTTTCAAAAGTGCTTGTGTAGGTATGTATACCTGCTTTTGAACTAACTACCGATGAAAACTTCAAGTGGGTGTATTTTTCCTGGTGTAGTTAATAGTATGTACACTTGGTCTTTCAGCTATAAGTTGAGCATAAAATCTAGAGCTTAACTAACTTTAAAATTCCTGTTATATCTCTTAAGTAATTTTCTGTATTATTTTCTACTGTCACAGCTATATTTTAATTCTTTACTATCGAAATAAATTCTATCTTGAAAAGAAATAACTGGAGCTCATTGATGACCAAACTGGTCCTCCAGTGCCTTGTGCAGGTCCCTCTCCTAGCCGAGCAACTTGTGCCTGCTCCCAGCTTCTGACCCGGTTTCTATTGCATCCATTGTTATTGTTGTGTTCCCTCAAGGCAATGTGACTCCTTACAACCCTGTATAATAGAGTGGAACTGCCCCATGGGGTCTCCAAGGCAGTACGTTTTTATTGCTACAGACTGCTCCAACTTTCTTCCAGGGAATGCTAACCTTCATTTAGCAGCTATGGACTTCACCACTGTGCTGCCAGGGCAGCTTTGAATAGGTGTCTTATTTCTTTATTTATCTTTTTAAAAAATCACTTTATTGGGGACTCATACAACTCATCACAGTCTATATATACATCCACTTTTGTACATCTGTTGCCCTCATCATTCTCAAAACATTTTCTTTGTACTTGAACCCTTGATAATTTATAAATTATTATTATTTTGTCATGTCTTACACTATCCGATGTCTTCCTTCACCTACTTTTCTGTTGCCCGTCCTCCAGGGAGAGGGTTATATGTAGATCCTTATAAACGGTTCCCCCTTTCTATTCCACCTTCGAGTGGTTTTTTTTGTTTGTTTGTTTGTTTATTGTTTTGATGCCATGTGTTTATGCCATGTATCAGGGCCCCAAGTTTATCCCTTATCTTGAGGGCTCTTAATTACTTCTTATATTTTGCTAGAGTTTCTAATTGTTATCCATAGGAGGGTTAGTTTCACCAAATTGTTCCACTATTAATTGAAACCTGTACCCCTAAATTTAAACAACACAATTTAACCTATGTTTTCCCCTCAACTCCTATTGCCAATAGATATTTACCTCCTCCTCTCAAAAACTAAAATAAAAAGGTGTCCAGAATGTTAGCAGGTTTCTTTTTTTCTTTTTCTCTTTCATACACACCACTGGACTTATAGAAGAGTGTTTGAGATTGTCCACTTTATTCTTGACTTCCCCGCACCCAGATGTACAGTCTGGGCCTTCTCCACGGGTTCCTGGAGAAAGTCTCGAGATAGAATGTGGTCTTCACGTAGCATGATGGGAAAAGTAAAATCCACATTCACTATTACATCCTACATTAGAAACGCTTCTCTTTGTGCCCTCTATAACTCATACTTCAAGTTGAAAGCACCTGGGGATTAATTAGTTCTAGGTTTCTTACCTTTTTTTTCTGAATGTTTGTTTATTTAAGAATAGGAATGTTGCTAAAAAATAATATTCCTGGAGATAATATTCATCAACTTTCATACTATAACATTTTGAGAAATGCCTATTCATTATTGCTACTGAGGGGTATGCTAACAATGTTATTTTTGGGGCCTCTTATTTTTTTAAAAAATCATTTTACTGGGGCTCTTACAGCTCTTATCACAATCCATATATACATCCATTTGTGTCAGGCACATTTGTACATATGTTGCCATCATCATT